TGCTTTTTTTTCTTTTGTTTATTTTCCTTTACCCATAAAGTTTTATCATTGCAATTATTAGTACTTAACATTTACACTGCAGCAGAAGAGCAACATTGCTCTTCTAAGAATCAAGTTTCAGTCTGCAAGCAATGTGCAAATATACGCAAATCTGAATTTCATACTTCATATGGGCTGCATCTCAATAGAGCAAACCCTTTGGCCAGGTACCATCAAGGTGATCTAAAGAGTAGGCATATGGTGAATACCCAATAAACTTACAGAATGCTCTCCTTCCTATTTCATTTGGAAAGGTAGAACAAAAAGGTGCTCAGCAAAGGAGAAAACAAATGCAGAAGGGATGAGCTGGACTGTAGGTTGGGGAAGAAACCTGCAAGCTGCTCTGACCTCACCTGGAGCTCCTGCAAACTGCAGTCAGCTACCAGGAAGAGCTCATTTGGTCTTTTCTCCTTGTCCTCTCAGCAGGCCTTTTGAAGACACTTTGAAGACACTTTGTTCAATCAACTCAGCTTTCAAATAAGGAACAACTATTCAACTATAGTTTACAACTGGAACTTACAAAAAATTCCCTTTGGTTAGGTGAATTATGCAGTTATCCAGACTACTAAAACTTCTTAGGTAACTACAACTTCACTGCTGCTCCAAAAGTCAGTCATATGAAGTCAGTCAGTCATATGTCAGTGACTTCTTACATCACTTGTAATAAGGTGATACGTAATTTTTTGTCTGCTTCTCCTTGTGCATACTTTGAGGTCTTTATTTTAAATATACAGTTTAAATTGCTTAATTCCACTCCACTTATTTTTTTTTTAAAACTCATATTTGGGCTTTTAGAAAGCATCAAAGATCAATCCAACCCAGACTCCAGGTACAATAAGACTATGGTTTAATGTAGGTCCTGAGAAAAGGTGCATTACAATTGATTCTATAGCTACATGTGCAACTACAAAAAAAATTAGTCATACAACTGAAAGAAAAAAATCAAATAAAATATAATATCTGAGATAAAACAAATATTTTGTGGCTGTGTACAGCACTTAAGTCTGTGCCTTGTGCCAAAGCACCATGGAACAGAGCTTGATTGGTCACTATTATTTTTTGCCAGAGGACTCCAGAATCATTCAGGCGAGGCAGTCAACATTCACTAAATAAAACCTTACTCTCTATTCTGATTTACCCCCATGGTTCAATATGTGGACCCCATCTTATATTTAATGCATATTTCAAGACTGTCTATAATGACAACATTTTCTCTTTGGCTTTGCTATTGGGCTTATCACTATAGGAAACAACTGCTCCATGAATCTATCTATCTTTGCAAAATCCCCATGAGATGAATAACTGACATCATTCTCATTCTAGAGACTGGATGTTAAGGACGAGATATTTAAGTTTAAAGGCACACATTCCCTTTTAGTGCATGGTCCGAGATGCCTACAGGCTGATATTTTTGTTGTTCTTTAGGAGTACATAGCATTAGATAAGTTCAGACAGAACACAACTAATCTCACTGGTGCCAGCTGCAGCTGTGAATGTTCAGTACTTCCACAAATTGGACCTCTGAGCCTCCAGTTAGGCACATGGAAAATTAGGATCAAGCAATTAGTGTGATCCACCTCTGAAAAAAAATCCTTACAATACTTGGTCAGCATCACATGGGCATTTTGTTTGAGAAGCAGCATTTGAACTCATTTCTCCAGGGGAGCATTCTCCTACCTTCACTATGAGATCCTTTATCACCCTGCAATTCCCTCCTTCATTTCTAATACAATTTCCAACTTCTGCAATAAAAATTTGCAGACAATATTCTACTTGCACTACATCATCATGACTCACTCTGACTCATTCTGCAATGGTTCCCCAACCTCCTCCTTTAAACAGAGTGCTCTGCGATTCCAAATCCAAAGCTCTTGGCTGAATCTCTCCCTTCTTCACCTTTCATGCCCACGGTTCACACTCAGAAGATTTCTTTTCCCATTTTATTTCTCTGCTTCTGGAAATACAACCTGCAAATGTCCCACCTGGCCTCTTAGCCCAGTTTGGCGTACACTCAGCCCTTCTGTTGTACGGGATAATAAGTTCTTCTACAGTAAGTTCTAATGATGATTTACAGAGAGATTATATGGCAAACTATTTGGTTAGTTTGTGTCTCAAGACTTGCCTGCTCAGTGTAAGTTGCAAATATTCCATGTACGAAAGGGAATTTCCTCATTCTGCAGGGATACCCAGGTATCTTTACTGCAAGGCTTTACTAGCCTGTGCCTATTTTCTTTCTATTTTGATTTTGAAATTATCTTGGCTAGTCCCTTCTTGAAGATCCTTGTATCATGTTCCCTTCTCAACTATACTGATGCTCTTAGTATTCTTAGTTTTTATTTATTTATTTACCTCTAAGGATGAGAGGACACACAACAGTTTACGAAACATCTGGAATATGTAAAGCTATCTGGAATATGTAAAGATTCAAGATGAAGATTCAAACTGATGTGAAGCATGCTTTCAAACCAAACCAGTGCCTCTCTGAGCTTCCTAATACTCTGCTCTATCCCGCCTAGTCTCCTTTCCCTATTACTCGTTCTGTGCGCTGATACAAATACCCCAATATTGCTGTTGCAGATGCTGAGGTGCAGACCAGGAGCTGTTTTGCTGTCACCAGGCCTGAGTACTGCTGTGCTGCTGGGGGCCCTGTTTAATGTTCTGCCCTGCTCAGGAAAGCCTGCAAGACCTCTCCAATTCTTGGGCTCATCTGCTTTCTAGATGTCACTCAATCATCTTTGCTAGAGAAAATTCATAACTAGGTGTCTTCAAAATAATATTTAAGAGTAACAGGTATGGCTTCGGAATGGGCTAGAATTTGGCAAAATTAAGCTAAAAAAAAGAAAAAAATCTTCATTAAAATGTCTTTTCAATCACAATAAAGCTGTCATTTCTACTGCTGTTTGTACATATTGCATATTAAAATGTAATGTTCAGTCCTATAACCTTTTTTCATGAAATGCCCCATAACACACTCTATAGTTATCATGAAAAGAAACTGAAGCATATCCAGAAAAAAATACAGCCTTATAAATGTCTTTCTCAAATGAAAATGCCTTCTTATTTAAAGTTTTGAATAAACGGTTGTGTCTAAGAAGGAAGCAGTAATAGATGCCATAAAATCTCCAGGTATACCAGGGTCACAGAGGCTATAAGAAAAGATTATTGAGAGAAGGCTGCTTATTAAAATATCATCTGTGACACTTAGAGAAGACACAAGAAGAGATCAAAAGTCAATGTTATCTCCCCCATGAATTTCCCTCAGCATAAAAAGCGTACAGTCCAAACACAGTACACAGAGACTATTACTCATGGCTACACGTCCAGTGCCTCAGGCAACAAAAAACATAAGTGCTTCCAATTATTATTACAGTATCTTCTTTTTATCATCATCATTTTGGCACAAAACCAAACCTACCTCCTGCCACCCTGCTCTAGTGCCTGGTGTGTGAATCAGAGTCCTGTGACTTAGCATTTTTTAACCTCTGCCTAATTCTAGCTCTGAAGTTTCACACCATGTCCAGCTCCTCTGCCTCTAATACTGACTTCTTGCTCTCTGTGGTGCTGTGGAGTTCATCCTCCTACCATAGCTCATAGTGTTTTATTCTAACAGCGACAAAGCTTACTGTAGCATTGACTGTGGCAAAATATTTCTCTGCTTGATTTTCCTGCATCCTCATGTACTGTTTTGAAGGTCTTGGAAAATTTCATTTATTACTCTTATTTGACTTTTTATACCTCATTTTTTCTACTTTTTTTTTTTTTTTTTTTTTTTTTTTTTTTTTTGATCTCTGGCATATCATGTAATTGTTGTAACTCTACAGGAATTCATACAACTATTAATGACTAAATTAGTGCAAGATGGTTTATGAGCCAATATTGATTAAAATGTCCACGAGCTGCTGTAAATTGAAAAAGCACTCAAATGAGTATTGACCCAATTGGTCACTGAGCATTGCATGCCGTGTATAACATGATACAGCCTGTCAGGACAAAAGGGACACAAGAGGTTAAAACTCATAAACCAAACATTTAGAGAGCACAGACAGGGGCTCACACAAAGTGGTGATGCATTTTACATGGTAGGGTCATTTCTAGAGCATTTACGGGGTACATCGGAGATGCAGATTTAATTCTCTTTTCAGTCTGGAGGGATTTAAGCCCACATCAGTTACCTCATAGTAGGATGTCCCTGTTACCAGGCTGTAAAATATTCTGGGGTAGGCTTCCTCAGTCTCTCTGTTAAAACTGTTCCACTTGGGATGAATCAATAACTATTTATTCGACAAGGAACTAGATCCCTGTCTCTCACTGTCTTTCCCAAATGGGCTACAGGTTTGTAGTTGGAACCAAGAGGGCAATGAATATTTAATTACCTCAGGTAAAGTGCAGTAGCTGCGTCTGAACTAGCGAAGAGAGCCTCACTCCATAATACCCTCTAAATCTTGTTCTTAACATATTTTTTCTCATGTAAGATGGATAATGAGGGCAGAAGTCACTAGGCAAGAACTTGAACTCCTATCTCTCATAGCCTACAGTCAAACAGTCAAAAAATAATACTATTTAAAAAAGTAGAAAATCTGGGAAAAACCTAAGATGCAGAGATAAAATTAAATACCGTATCATAATAAATCTGCACGGGGGAGACAAAGTAGCATCTACAGTCAAAATCCCGGTCTCTCCTATTAGTATTTGCTTTTGCAGCTTTACCCTTCTCTACAGTTCATTTGAATTCAAAACAAGGATACGTTTCTGAAATCTGAAAATAACTGATACTATAAAATGGCAATGAACGTACAGGTAGGTGTTTTGCAGTAGGAGGGATCACAGAAATAACACTTTTGCCTTCATTCTTTGGTAAAAATATGGCAATATTTAAGTGAAAGACGGTCAGGGCAGAGGCAGCAGCTATCCGAGCTGCTGGTTGTGGCAAGCCTCGTGCTGCCTGCCCATGCAGCACTCACCACTGCTTGTAGTCGGCGTCGCAGTTGCAGTAATACTTGGGGTCGGTGCAGTTGCGCTCGATGCCGCAGGCGCATTTCTGAATGCCGGGTCCCGAGCCGCCCCAGTAGTAGTGCTTCTCATTGGCCTTGCCGACCCACCACGTGTACGGGTTCCCTTCTGCAAGGAGGAACAACGCCAGGTCACCACGCATCAAAGAGGCAGAGCTTCCCAAGGCATCAGCTGGGCCCACGTGTTTAATATGCCAGCAGCATTAACAACACATACCTGGACAGCCATCCCGCCTAGCTGGCCATCAGATGCAGTCTTATACTGAGCAATTCAAAGGGCAACACCAGGTGAGCAAAACATATTTCTTTTTTTTTTTTTTTTTTTTTGCAATTCGCCCTTTGTATGGCTATTGAATTAACCAACTCTTTTTTACCTCATATGCTCTTTGTTTTGCTTTTAAATTGTTCCCTCTTTATGTAATGAAAATATGTGAGCAGGTTCCGTAACTATTTCAAGTTAATTTTGAATTTGCATAGTTAGTTATCAGATGGATTACTCAACATTTGACCACAAATGCTGCAGAGAAAGAGAGAGAGGCATTTATTTTCATTTTGCTTTTAAATAGCAGCTTTTCATTGGGAATTAATCTGTTTTCACTGAAAAGTAAACAAGTTCATCATGCTCTCCAGCTGGTCCAAAGCAAAGCTTACACAGATAATAACAGGATCCAAAAGAAATGTAACAATTTTTTACAATTTTAAAAAATGATGGTTTTAGTGCTTGAGCAGAAGTGAGTTTACCTTTGTTATAATCGTATTCCTTGGTGCTTAGTTTGTAACTTGGTATTTTCATACATTGCTATAAATTTCTATATACACATTTCTAATGTTTTTGGATTAACTAAGCCTCTTACGCTATGCGTAAACAAATATAGGACTAGTATAATTTCAATTTTATAAAATAATCTTATTAGAAAGACTTATTTTCCTATCTGCAGTTCAGCAAGGCACTTAAATAAGAGCTTAACTTGAAGACCATGTGTTTAACTCAGTCAATTTCAATATAGTTATCTATCTTAGGGGGAGGTTCACAATTAAAAAACAGAGTGGAACTCCGCTCATAAAAATTTCTTTACATGTATAGCTGTAAAGAAATGAAAGAAACCTGCATACAGCATTCTGTCAATAAAGCAAATGAAGCCATTTGCAAGTAATTGACTTACTATCACATTCTACATGCAAAATCCTCCGTAACAGAAATCTCATTTTTTCTCTCTTTGAAGTAAGACTGAAATATTTTGATAATTTTCTGTCTTTGCACCTCACTCACACATCTCCAAAAACCTGCATCCACAACCACCTCCCAAAGTAACCACCTCCCAATTAAATTCCGTCATCCTGGTCATAAATCCACTTCCTCTAGACGATAAATCTGCCTCTATCCCAGAGATACGTGGCAAGTAATCCACAGAAATCTTTAAAGAAAATTACAGATATGGAGAGGGCAGACAAACACCTGAAGCAACATGAGAAAAAAAAACCAAAACACTAACTTTGTTTAACGCTTTTGAACTGTTAAACACAGTATTAAAACATGGCTATTGAAAACACAGTGATGTCAGAAATTTGTGGTTGTTGGAGGTGTTTATTAGTTGCTCCTACTGCTGTGCAGAAGGGCCATTCCAGCCCAGCACTAGTGCCCTGGACACGGTGGCAGGATGACTCGAGTCGAGTCACGGTTCCTAATTAGACATTTTGGCCCCTGGCGCCTTGATTACAAAGGGAGGGGGGGCTGAGAGGCAGGAGAGCTGCAGCGGCATTTCCAAGCAGTAATAAAACATATCCGAGATGATACTGCAGGCGTCCCAAAGATTCTTCTGAGAGAGCCATGTGAAGGACGTGCTGTCACTGTCACAGTTACTGACTGAATTACTTTAATCACTAGAAGATCCAGCTATAGCATTAGTGATATTTGGAGCTGCTATCAGATTTTTTTTTTGCCATCTTTGAGCTTGGTTTATGTGCAGGGGTGGAAAAACTAGGATTTCAGTCAAAATTCTATTTGTTTATCCTTTTCCTATCAAGCAACGAATTGCAGGATTCAATCAGCAAGCACTTTGCTAAGAAGCAAAATTGTTGACTGGAGTACCAGAAGGAAGCAAAATTACTTAGACTTGTCAAAAAGAGGATTAGGAATTCAGAAACAGGTAGAAGTGATGAAAGTGGGTGAAAGTGATAGCATAATTACACACCACAGTGATGGGTGCCGCAGGGCGCCACGACAGGCACAGAGCGTGTTTTCATTCACTGAAATGATGACTGACACACGGATTTAAATCCAGCAGGCTTTAGACAGCTATTTTTCCCATCTATTGTTTCCGGTGTGGATATTCTCCTTTGCCCTGGCAGGGGACCTGACTCAGTCAGGGCACCTCTGCTATTAAGAACAGACTTGCAATCAGACTGAGGAACGCAAACGACTTCAGGGAGACACCAACACACATGATTAATTTGCAGAAAAGTCAAGGAGGTAAGCTCTGGTTTTAGGGGTTTTGCCTTCAGCATTTATTGTGGGAGCCACCCCCACCACCAAGAAGCCCCACACTGATACACAGACACCTCACGGCCCTCGTGGACACTACGAATATCTGTGATGGGAATGCTGTGATATGCAGATCCATATTCCTAACACAGTAGTATTACGGGATGGACCCAAAGAAAAACAGAAAAAAAGGTTGAAACAAAGATCAGTCATGAAGGCAACAAACCCTGTAGAAATAAGGACCACCCTCTCCCATCTCCTGTTTTGCCCTGTTTTTCACAGCTGTCACCTCCTTTTGAAAGTGTGAATGCTCCTGTTTCACAGCAATTTGTTTATTATAAATGAAGTAATGCACTCCAGTATAAAGACTGATCGCTACCTTATGTATATATATACACACATACATATGTATGTGTGTATATATGTATATGTGTATATATGTGTGTGTGTATATACATATATACACAGAAACACACATTTATGCTAAGTGTATTGCCATGACAAGTTAATACCAGAAGGCATTTTGTTTTGTTGTTTCTGAAGCTATCTTGGCATGGAAGAACATTTTAGTCGCTGGAGAAGATATGCTTTTAAAGGATTTGTGGAGAAATAACATCAGGACACAAAGAAGCAAGAGAGGAACTTTCTGTCTGCCTTGGGGTTTTGATTAAAATCCAGTCTTGATGCAGTACTACCCTCTGGGAAGGAAACCATTCTCCTTCGAGCACTGCTGTAAGAAGCATTTTTAAAAGTACATGTCTGCTAAGTGGGCAATCAAGAGACATCTGCATTTTCCTTCTTGAATAGAAGACCCTTAACAAGGTTTCAGGTGCTTTTTATTCAGTCACTTGGAAGAAAAGTAATCATGCTTTTGGAGCATGGAATAATCCATGCATGGATACCAAAAAAATGGACAAACACATCCAGCCCTTGAGGATATCCATTAACCTCACAGACAAAGTTAATGTCTGAGATGTGAAAGCAATCTTAGTGCATACTGCTGTGAGGGCAAAACAGCTCTTCTTATTTACATGGGGTATGATATGGACATGGGAGTTTGCCAGAACATCAGCTTCAAACCATATGGTTAGTGATTCAAATCTCACTCTGTCTACAAAAAGCCTTTAACATTTACATGTAATAGAAGCAATAGTGGCTGCAATGATGCACTGATTGCACTGATGCACTTCACTGAAAATTAATGAAAAATAATACTTCTTATTTAAATCTACATGCAAGGTTATCCCAAGTTTGTAAAAAATGCAATATTTTGTAATTCCTTTTTGTAACAAATCTGGCCATCAGTGTTTTCTAGTAAGAAGTGCTCTGTCTCCACAGAAAATTCAGAAAAGAAAAAAAGACTAGGGAGCCTCTTTGTATTCTCACAGATTGCAAATGTCATAAAAAAGCCATTCCATTTTCATTTCATAAATATATCTTCTTGTGAAACATTTCATTTAATATAAAAACATACCCAGCCAAAGTTAATGTAGTATGAAGAGAACTTTCAACAGTCAATAATATATTTATTTCTAACATCATCGAACTGCCTCAGAATACGTAACTTATGCAAGAACATTTTATTTTCTATTAAGAAGTTAATAAAACAAATTATTTTCAAATGCAACTGATGAATAAAAAAAGGGATAACTTCAATATTGTGGGGGGTCTTGTTTCAAAGCTGCTCAGTACCTGCAACTGAAGCAGTAGTACTGAGACAACTCAGATTAAGCAGTTGAATAAAATGGACAAGATATACTGTGGTATTCAGACACTTCCACAATACATCCCTTTATGTGTAAACTACCTTAAGCTAAATGTTGATCTTCTTTTCATTACCTCTTCTTAAATACAAGGTTTCTCCAGTCTCCTCCTCATGCTTCCCTCAACAGAAAATACCACCTTTTGCAACAACAACCTCTACACGACAGGAAATTTTCCTCACCTCTTTCTAGTCTTTAAAATTAAAGAGAATGGTTTAAAAAGAAAGTCTAGGAACATTTTCAAAACCAAGTGAATGGCTCATAACATCTGAAAAAAAAGGACTATTAAAAACTGCTCATTGGAGCAGTTCACTTTAACAAATACGTTTAGTTGATCTCCTACACATCATTAAGAGTTATCTACTGGACTAGATGATTTTGAATTAAAGTACACAGAAAGATGGAAAAATATATTTGGACAATTGCCTTTTATTTCTCTTATTGTAACAGGACCATTCCTGTTATTAATTAACATCAAGGATTCTGGGGATGTCAAGTACTAAATTATGTGCAAAATTGTTATATTTTTCTGTATACCTTCTTTTGTTCACTTCTCTGCTAAATGAACACATCAAAAGAGCAGGAACTGAACTGATCGCTGAGTTCTTCCTATTTGGAAGGACAGGCCCAAAGACGTCTTTCCAAATGGTTAACTACAGCTATGGAAGGCTAAATTAATGATAGCTAGAAATGAAAGTAAGGTACCAGGGATAATATACAATTAAGGCATTAAAAAGAGAAAATGTAAAAAAAAAAAAAAAAGTTAATCTGCATGTGTGGAAGGCTGTTAGAATTCTTTTATGCTTAAGTGAAATGTATTCTTTACACTCACATTTTGAATTAAGCGACACTAAAAGATACAGT